TGAAAAGCCCTAAATCATCTAATATCCAAAATTTTGAAAATATAAAGCATAGGAAAATTAACATGAGGAATGGATGATGGCAATGTTTCTTCCTAAGAAGGCATCCTAAAGAAAATCCAATTTTCAATGAAAAGCCCTAAATCTTCTAATATCCAGAATTTTGAAAATATAAAATCTTTAAAATAGGTAGAATAGGAACATTAACATGAGGAATAGATGATGGCAATGTTTCTTTCTAAGATAGCGTCCTAAAGAATATCTTATTTTTAATGAAAATCCCTAAATCTTCTAAAATTTTAAAAATATAAAATCTTTAAAATAGATAGCATAAAAAAATTAACATAAGGAATAGATGATGGCAATGTTTCTTCCTAAGAAGGCATCTTAAAGAAAATCCAATTTTTAAAGAAAAGCCCTAAATCTTCCAATATCGAGAATTTTGAAAATATAAAACATTTAATATTTTAGGAAAATTAACATGAGTAATAGATGATGGCAATGTTTCTTCCTAAGATAGCGTCCTAAAGAATATTTTATTTTTAATGAAAATCACTAAATCTTCTAATATTCATAATTTGGCAATGTTTTTTCCTAAGAAAGCATCCTAAAGAAAATCCAATTTTCAATGAAAAGTCCTAAATCTTCTAATATCCAGAATTTTGAAAATATAAAATCTTTAAAATAGATAGCATAGGAAAATTAACATGAGAAATGGATGATTTCAATGTTTTCTTCCAAGAAGGCCTACTAAAGAATTTCTAATTTTTAATAAAAAGCCCTAAATCTTCTAATATCCACAATTTTGAAAAAATAAAATATTTAAAATAGATAGCATAGGGAAATTAACATGAAGAATGGATGATGGCAATGTTTCTTCCTAAGAAGGCATCCCAAAGAATTTCTAATTTTTAATGAAAAGCCCTTAATTTTCTAATATCCTGAATTTTGAAAATATAAAACATTTAAAATAGATAGCATAGGAAAATTAACATAAGAAATGGATGATGGCAATGTTTCTTTACAAGAAGGCAACCTAAAGAATTTCCAATTTTCTTTGAAAAGCCCTAAATCTTCTAATATCCAAAATTTTGAAAATATAAAGCATAGGAAAATTAACATAAGGAATGGATAATTTCAATGTTTTTTTTCTAAGAAGGCATCCTAAAGAATTTCTAATTTTTAATAAAAAGCCATAAATCTTCTAATATCCACAATTTTGAAAAAATAAAATATTTAAAATAGATAGCATAGGGAAATTAACATGAAGAATGGATGATGGCAATGTTTTTTCCTAAGAAGGCATCCCAAAGAATTTCTAATTTTTAATGAAAAGCCCTTAATTTTCTAATATCCTGAATTTTGAAAATATAAAACATAGCATAGGAAAATTAACATAAGAAATGGATGATGGCAATGTTTCTTTACAAGAAGGCAACCTAAAGAATTTCCAATTTTCTTTGAAAAGTCCTAAATCTTCTAATATCCAAAATTTTGAAAATATAAAGCATAGGAAAATTAACATAAGGAATGGATGATTTCAATGTTTTTTCTAAAAAGGCATCCTAAAGAATATTTTATTTTTAATGAAAAGCCCTAATTTTTTTAATTTCCATAATTTTGAAAATATAAAACCATCCCAAAGAAAATCCAATTTTTAATGAAAAGCCCTAAATCTTTTAATTTTCAAAATTTTAAAAATATAAAACCTTTAAAATAGATAGCATAGGAAAATTAACATAAGGAATGAATGATGGCAATGTTTCTTTCTAAGAAAATCAAATTTTCAATGAAAAGCCCTAAATCCTTTAATATCCAGAATTTTGAAAATATAAGAATTTAAAATAGATAGCAGTAGAATAGCTATGGGGCTTCTGGCTCACTATTCACATTTCGGCCGCATGGTGGCGCCACATGCTGGGCTGTGCACTCGTTGGCGTTACACGATGGGCGGGAAATTCAAAATGGCCGCCGGCCGCCAACCAATTGCAGAAATAATGATGGGCGGGGCTTGTTGAATTCAAAATGGCCGCCAACCAATTAAAATTGTAATTGTAATTAATATATTCACAGTGGTAAGATGTAATTGCGTGGTTCGGAAACGTTCGGAATTGATCAAAAATGACGGGTGTCCAAGACCTTGACGTGACCTTGACGTGACCTTGGCATGAACTTGAAAATGACAGGTGCTAAAAATGACAGGTGTCAAAAATGACAGGTGTCAAAAAAGACAGGTGTCAAAAATGACAGGTGTCAAAAATAACAGTTGTCAAAAATGACAGGTGTTAAAAATGACAGGTGTCAAAAATAACAGTTGTCAAAAATGACAGGTGTTAAAAATTCCTTATCTTTGAATTCCCCCTAATTAAAATGTAAAATATGTTTGGAATAACTTAAAAATACCTGTATTAAAATTATCATATTACGTGACTTAAGAAGACGTTTAAATGCAAAAATGCTATAAATACATTTATTTATTCATAATTCTTTTAAAACTTTTAAAATAGATAGCATAGGAAAATTAACATAAGGAATGAATGATGGCAATGTTTCTTTCTAAGAAGGCATCCTAAAGAAAATCAAATTTTTAATGAAAAGCCCTAAATCTTTTAATATCCAGAATTTTGAAAATATAAAAATTTAAAATAGATAGCAGTAGAATAGCTATGGGGCTTCTGGCTTACTATTCACATTTCGGCCGCATGGTGGCGTCACATGCTGGGCTGTGCACTCGTTGGCGTTACACTATGGGCGGGAAATTCAAAATGGCCGCCGGTCGCCAACCAATTGCAGAAATAATGATGGGCGGGGCTTGTTGGCCGCCAACCAATTGTAAAAGTAATACTGGGAAATGCAAAATTATGACTCGTGGTGGCGCCACTTGCCCGGTTGATTCTCAAGTCTAGTAATTGCACATTGTGCAACTACTAGACTTGCACAATGCACAATATTTCGAAATTTTAATTTATTCTGGCGCCACACTGGCGTTGTTTTTCTCACACATTGAGACGCACTTCCCTAGAGGCCCCATTGGGCGGTCGCAACCTTGCACGATACTTCGAATTTTTTCCGCATGTGACGCCACCTGCTGGAACTATACGTATACAACAGGAGCGTACAAATTAAGCTCGTACTAAATATTACGGGGGCGCACAAAATTAACCTTAAAATTGTAATTGTAAATAATATATTCACAGTGGTAAGATGTAATTGCGTGGTTTGGAAACGTTCGGAATTGATCAAAAATGACGGGTGTCCAAGACCTTGACGTGACCTTGGCATGACCTTGAAAAAATGACAGGTGCTAAAAATGACAGGTGTCTTAAAATGACAGGTGTCTAAAAATGACAGTTGTCTAAAAATGACAGGTGTCTAAAAATGACAGGTGTCAAAAATTACAGGTGTCAAAAATGACAGGTGTCAAAAATGACAGGTGTCAAAAATGACAGGTGTCAAAAATGACAGGTGTCAAAAATGAGAGGTGTCAAAAATGACAGGTGTCAAAAATAACAGGTGTCAAAAATAACAGTTGTCAAAAATGACAGGTGTTAAAAATGACAGGTGTCAAAAATAACAGTTGTCAAAAATTCCTTATATTTGAATTCCCCTTAATTAAAATGCAAAATATGTTTTGTTTATATATTTATAAAAATACCTGTATTAAATATTACGTGACTTAAGAAGTCGTTTAAATGCAAAAATGCTATAAATACATTTATTTATTCATAATTCTCGCATGTGTTTTTGTATTATGACATTGACAACATTTGAGCTACCGGAAGAATTCGGAAACGTTCGGAATTGATCGGAAATTAACGAAATATATAAGTATCAAAAATGACAGTTGTCAAAAATGATGTGTTAAAATTGCAAATACGGCTTTCGCCACCCCCACAGCCCCACCGCCCCTGCTAATGTCGAACAAAAAAATAAAATATTATTAAATATTGTGCAATATTGCAAAATGTAAAAATATGACTCATGAAGTCTGACGCCACACTGGTGGCACATATTTTTATTATTTGCAAATTTAATTGCATCTACTTATTTAAAGGTAATTCTCGGAATTTTCCAGTTCAAGTTTGTTTATTAATTTATAAAAAGTGAAAGGAAGTTTGTTATTTAAAGAGAGCAATGTAACGGTTCTAAACTCTAAACTCTAAATTATTTTTTATTAAAACTACATACCTTAGTTATTAGAATGTTTATTTGTTTTTATAATTATATAAAAGGGGTAAATGTACGTTTGCACCTTATTTTGTGTTGTGGCGGGTTTGGGTTGTGTTTGTCTCAGTGTCCAAAGTGTCAAGTGTCCAAACAACAATGATGTGCTAGAATCCTAAAAAACAAAGAAATAGAAATTATTATTTTAAAGTATAAAAATAGATTAATTAAATTATTACCAATATTGTTGGAGTTAACGAGTCAAATGTCAATCAATAAAACAAAACTTAAAGTCCCTAGAGGTCCCCCTCCCTAATTAAATTTTTTACTTCAATCATGAATTGCGAATTAGCGTTCTTTTACCGATAAATCCTTGTTCAGGAAGGTAGTAATTCTTGAAAGAAGCTAAATGCTGATTAAGTTTTCAAGTTTGAAGAAAGTTAATAGTAGAACATTTAGTAGAAGTTGTTATATACCTGTATATGGAATTTTGGAAAACGTTTAATACAGAAAATACAGCCAAAATACATCTAGGTAGGTGCAGTTTTAAGTTAGTTTTTTCTTGCTTTATAATGACTAAATTATTGCTTAAATAGCTTAATTTTCAGAAAACTGAGTAAGTAATATTTTACTTTTGTTCCCCTTGTAATTTAAAAATGTATTTAAAACCATTAAGGAAACACATGGCTTCATGTGTAGTTTTTTTATACCTACAAAAAAAAGTTTTGAAAGGAGAAATGACAATTGACCTTGGAAACGTTGTTTACTAAGTAATTAAATAGGATTCTAGCTATTATTGTTTCTTTTAGGCTGTTTGGTAAGGGTGTTTAGTAAAGGTGTTACTTGCACTTACCGGTGGATCTAGATCTAGTGTCCACGAAGATTATTGCCTGGATTGCATCCTGTGTTTGGTATCTTGGGATCATTTGTTTGGAATGCTGCATGTTAATCCTGCCAGGAGTTACCGATAAAGTTGCTGAAACTGCTTCAAGCCGCACGATCCTGTATGCCGGCGCACAGACAGTTCTAAAGGTAGTAAATTGAACTTATTAGATATTGTAAAGATCTAGACGTACTTGTTTTGCTGAAATATATTAGTAGATTGTTAAGAAAAGGTGATTAGTATATAATTACTTACCTGTATTGTAGTTTAAGTAGTTTTTAAAAAGTATTTCACTGACAGGTCGACGTGTTTACTAGTTTTAGGTAGGTTAGGTTAATAGTTTTAAGATTGGTAGTTCTAGTGACGCGGTGTAGCCACGTTTACTCAGCGTAGGCAGATACGGAGTTTGCGGCGTTGCCGTACGTAAATATTTGTTTTAAAATCATATGTTCATAAAATCATAAGTTATTCAATAACCTTCGAATATTTTTTATTAATTTATAATATAAAAATCAATAACCGTCGAATATTTTTATTAATAAATATTTTTGTTGTATTAAAATTGTATTGTTGGTATTCCTCACTCACCTTAGACCACCTGTCGATTTGGTCTCGACTGGCGCCCAATTTAAAGTAGTAAAGATAAAAATAAAGATTTAACGAACCCACACCCAGCCCCGAATTTAGCAGCAGCCGTAAGTAACCTCAGAACGTAAGTAAGTAAAGTAAAAAATCACGAAAAGTTTAGGGCTAATATTCAAAAAAAAAAAAAAAAAAAAAAAAAAAAAAATGACAATTGACCTTGGAAACGTTGTTTACTAAGTAATTAAATAGGATTCTAGCTATGATTGTTTCTTTTAGGCTGTTTGGTAAGGGTGTTTAGTAAGGGTGTTACTTGCACTTACTGGTGGATCTAGATCTAGTGTCCACGAAGATTATTGCCTGGATTGCATCCTGTGTTTGGTATCTTGGGATCATTTGTTTGGAATGCTGCATGTTAATCCTGCCAGGAGTTACCGATAAAGTTGCTGAAACTGCTTCAAGCCGCACGATCCTGTATGCCGGCGCACAGACAGTTCTAAAGGTAGTAAATTGAACTTATTAGATATTGTAAAGATCTAGACGTACTTGTTTTGCTGAAATATATTAGTAGATTGTTAAGAATAGGTGATTAGTATATAATTACTTACCTGTATTGTAGTTTAAGTAGTTTTTAAAAAGTATTTCACTGACAGGTCGACGTGTTTACTAGTTTTAGGTAGGTTAGGTTAATAGTTTTAAGATTGGTAGTTCTAGTGACGCGGTGTAGCCACGTTTACTCAGCGTAGGCAGATACGGAGTTTGCGGCGTTGCCGTACGTAAATATTTGTTTTAAAATCATATGTTCATAAAATCATAAGTTATTCAATAACCTTCGAATATTTTTATTAATTTATAATATAAAAATCAATAACCGTCGAATATTTTTATTAATAAATATTTTTGTTGTATTAAAATTGTATTGTTGGTATTCCTCACTCACCTTAGACCACCTGTCGATTTGGTCTCGACTGGCGCCCAATTTAAAGTAGTAAAGATAAAAATAAAGATTTAACGAACCCACACCCAGCCCCGAATTTAGCAGCAGCCGTAAGTAACCTCAGAACGTAAGTAAGTAAAGTAAAAAATCACGAAAAGTTAAGGTTACACAAGTGGCGCCCAACGTGGGGCCTTATGCTAAATTTTCTGAGGTATACCAATCGGGTTGTCATATCCCTCAAACCTATCCCCATCAACAATACAGTTTATACAATTATAGCTTTAAGACTTAGTATACTTAGTATCGAATTTTGGTTGGCAAACTTTACCGGTAACTACATCTATAAAAATAGGATATCATAGTAATAAGAACAATTTTAAGGCTAAAGAAAAATAAGGCAAATAAATTATAAGGTAACAGTTTAAATTGTTTTAACTCTCGTCAACTGATACTCGCGATGGATCCGTTTCATTTACGAACCCATGAGATCAACTATGAACTTAAGATCAGAAAACTCTTTAGCGAAAATGCAGATATGTCAATGAAACGAAAATGTCTAAGGGAATGCTTAAGGCAGGAGGCTCAGAATCCGGTAGAATACAACAACGAAGACGGTAATTTCGCAATAGAAAAAGTCGAGATAGCCACCAGCCTAAAAACACTAAAAGAAGTGAAAGATGATTTTGATGGTTCTAGAGAAGAAGTGTTAAAAAGATTTAAATCAAGATATTTACATGTAACAGACAGATTAAAAAGACTTCAAGGTGCTGATGCCAATGAAGAAAGAGAAAATTACATAGCTGAGACCCTCATAGAGCTAAACTCTTACATGTGTGAGATGAATGATGTTTTTCTGGAGATAAACGAAAGCCCAACCCCACCTAACCAAACCAGTACGGCGTCGAGCAAATTAATCACGCCAGTGTACAAATGGAGTGTGACATTCGATGGGACTACTAAGAACGGTTCAGTCAATAGCTTCCTTCAACGAGTAGAGGAGTTAAGGGTAGCAAGGCACACTTCAGAAGGAACATTATACGAATCAGCAGTAGATTTATTTAGAGACCAGGCTCTAATCTGGTATAGGGCTGTGAAAGATTCAGTAGATTGCTGGGGAGGTCTGAAGAAAGCGCTTCGCAGAGACTTTTTACCAAGAAATTTCGAAAACGAGTTGTGGACGGAGATAAGAAGTCGTACCCAGGGCCCAACTGAGAAGGTAACGGTATATATTGCAACGATGATAAACATGTTCAATCGATTATCAGAAGTACCTAAGGAAAAGGTTAGGTTAGACGTAATCCGGGGAAACATATTGCCATGCTACCAAGTACAGATCGCACTCCAAGACATAACCACTTTGGAGAAGTTGACCGAGGTATGCAGGATCTTGGAGGATGCAAACATGGTTCAAAAGAAATATCAACCACCTCCGAAAAGAAATATCTCCACTTTAGAGCCGGACCTCGCGTTTTTATCAAGAGACGTGCAAGTCAACAGAGGAGCAGTGGAGGAGTTTAGGTGTTTTAAATGCAATGGAGTTGGACATATGAAAAGAGATTGCCAATCGAGGTATCCTAAAGAGTTGGTGTGCCATGGATGCGGGAAGCCGGGAGTAATTAGACCAAACTGCCCCCAGTGTTCAAAAAACGCCAAAGCCGGGAGTTCCGCGTAGAACGGCGCTCCCAAACGCAAAAATACCCTACAACCAGCCAATCTGAATGGACTGAGTGGTGCCGATACGTCAAGCAATTCTGTAAAGAGCATCCGAAAGAACATGATAACAATGCCTTGTTTGTAAGGAGAACCGGAGACAATAGACCTTATCTTAAGGTCGAAATTTTTGGGGAAGATATCATAGCCTTGTTGGATAGCGGGGCGAGCCATTCTGTGATGGGAAGTAGAGGTATACATATTATAGACCGTTACAACTTACATATTTATAATAGCCCGAACTTAATCATCTGTACTGCCGATGGAAAGGAGCAAGAAGTTAAAGGCTACCTAAATTTACCGATTAAGATAGACGGAGTTTTAAAAATCTTAAAGGTTTTAGTGGTGCCGTCACTATGTCACAAATTGATACTGGGGTCAGACTTTTGTGAAGAATTTAAGATAGCAGTCAACTTTAGAAGTAGATCGATTGCTGTGGAAGAAACGAAGTCAAGAGCAAGTGAAATTAACGTAATTCAGTCAAAAGAGGGGCTAAACGAGAGAGATGAGTGATTTGAAAGAAATGGTCAACAAGTTTAAAGAAATTTCATGGAAAAACGGTAGCAAGCTAGGTAGAACCAATAGGGCAGTCCACAGGATAGACACGGGAGACTGTGAACCGATCAAGCAGAGACAACACACAATGTCTCCGTATATGTTGGATCACATATATAAGGAATTAGATAAGATGTTAGAATTGGGAGTAGTGCAGCCGTCAGAAAGTCCCTGGTCCAGCCCAATTCTGCTGGTAAAGAAGACGGATGGAACGTACAGGCTGTGTTTTGACGGACGAAAACTCAACGCTGTAACAAAAAGAGATGCATATCCTCTGCCCATAGTTGAAAACATCCTGAACAAGCTGACCGGAGCTAGATACCTGTCAAGTGTAGACTTGAAATCAGCATTCTGGCAGGTCACCTTAGACCCGAGATCCAGAGAAAAATGCGCGTTTACTGTCACGGGCAGGGGTTTGTATGAATTCGTTGTTATGCCGTTTGGATTAACAAATGCCGCCCAAACTCAGCAGCGTCTAATGGATTCAATTTTGGGACCATCACTTGACCCCTACGTATTTGTATATCTAGATGACGTCATAATCGCAACACCCACTTTTGAAAAACACCTGGAGATATTAGACGAAGTTCATCGCCGGCTAAAAGAGGCCAATTTAACTATAAATGTAGAAAAATGCGAATTTTGCCGGTCTTCTCTGAGATATCTCGGATTCATAGTGGATGAAATTGGACTCAGAACTGACCCAGAGAAAGTTTCCGCCATGTTGAACTTCCCAAGGCCAGAAACGGTGACACAAATGAAACGCTTCATAGGTACTGTCGGATGGTACAGGAAGTTTATAAAAAACTATTCTTCAATGACCAGCCCCATGACTTCGTTGATAAAAGGAAAAAAGAAGGCACAGAAGCTTAACTGGACCGAGGAAGCAGATAGATGCTTTCTAAAGATTAAAGAGGCGTTGGTAACGGCTCCGATTTTGGCAAATCCAGACTATTCAAGGATGTTCTATATACAGTGTGATGCTTCTTTGGTGGGCCTTGGAGCAGTGCTGACTCAGAAAACAGAGGATGGACAGGAGCTTGTTTGTGCTTTCGCCAGTAGAACCATTTCTGATCAAGAGCGAAAGTACACAGTAACTGAGTTAGAACTAGCTGCCGTGTTGTTTGGCATTGAAAAGTTTCGGCCATATGTTGAAAGGGTAAAATTCAAGGTGATTACTGATCACTATAGTTTACTATGGCTACACAATTTAAAGAGTCCGACAGGACGTTTGGCAAGATGGGCTGTGAAGTTATCGCAGCATGATTTTGACATAGAGCATCGAAAGGGAGCCTTGAATATTCTTCCTGATGCACTGTCCAGAGCGCCAGTCGAAGTGGCGTGGTTGGAATTAAAAGCAGAAGACTGTAAGAAGGACACCTGGTATGAAAAAATGTGTAAGAATGTGCGAGATGAACCTCAACAATATCCGGAATGGATGATCGATGAGAGAGGTCTTCTGTACAAGCACTTTATTTCAGAGATGGTGGTCGATAACAATCTTTCACAGTGGAAATTGGTAGTTCCGAGGCATCAGAGGGGTAGGATTCTAAAGGAGTGCCACGATGCCCCTACTTCAGCACATTTAGGGGTGTTCAAAACACTCATGAGAGTAAAAAAAAGCTACTACTGGCCAAAGATGAAAACATATGTCAAGAGGTACATTAAGTCGTGCGAAACGTGTTCGGCCCAGAAGTCCCGAAACGACGGAAGACCAGGTTTTATGGAAAAACCAAAAAGAGTATGTTATCCATGGCAGATGATTTCCGTGGATATACTCGGCCCTTTACCCCGATCAAGTAGTGGATATGCTTACATACTAGTTGTATCAGATTATTTTACGAAATATGTTTTGCTGCATCCGATGAGGCAAGCTATAGCGACGACAATCGTAAAGTTTTTAGAAGACGAAGTATTTTTGGTATATGGTGCGCCGCAAGTGATAACAGCCGATAACGGGGCGCAATTCACAGGTAAACTTTTTAAGGAGTTGGCAGAACGATATAATGCGAAGGTATGGTTTAATGCTCGCTATCATCCACAAGTTAACCAGGTAGAAAGAGTTAACAGAGTAATAGGAGCAGCAATTAGATCCTATATAAAAGACCACCAACACAAAAAATGGCCGCAAGAATTGGCAAAAATCGGATTTGCCTTAAGGACAGCGGTACACGAATCGACGGGGTTCAGCCCTGCTTATTTAAATTTCGGTAGGTTAGTACCGACAAGTGGGAATTTTTATGGAGAGGTGGGCAAGGCCAAAGATTTTAATTTTAACCCATTTGACAGAGAAAAATATGCTAAGGCAATGGGAGATTTACCCCATGTATATGTAGAGGTACAAAGAAAGTTAAAGGAGGCATATCAGAGAAACCAACACGGATATAACCTAAGGAAGAGGCCAGGAGAAAATTACCAGGTTGGAGACAAGGTTTGGAAAAGAAACTATGTGTTGAGTAACGCAGTTGACAAGTTTTCGGCCAAGTTGGCACCTAGGTATATTCTTTGCAAAATAGTCAGGAGACTGTCACCACTAGTGTTCCAGTTAGAAGACGCAAAAGGAGTGGATCAGGGTTCATTCCACCAAAAAGACCTTAAACCCTGGAAAGAAGAGATGGAATGAGTGATTTTGAAAGTTAGATGGTTAATCTCGTGAAAGTAGAATGAAAGCGGAAGTAAGAATGAGTGAGGTAAAGAAAACAGTTGACTAGGGTGATAACATTAAACTGTCAGTCTTCAGGTAAAGGCAATTATTTTTTTGGCCAGAAATTAAGTTCCTAATATTATAGTGCGCCTAACATATTATTTGTTTATCTTCAGATGTTTGTGGTGTTTAGTTTATGGGGGTTAAAAAAAAAAAGGAAAAAAATAAAATAAAATATAGTGGAATAGAATATATAAAATTAAATTAAAGGTGTTAGGTTGACAATAGTTTTTTTTTTATTTTATTTTTTTATCCAAGAAAGGGTGGTGTGTAACGGTTCTAAACTCTAAACTCTAAATTATTTTTTATTAAAACTACATACCTTAGTTATTAGAATGTTTATTTGTTTTTATAATTATATAAAAGGGGTAAATGTACGTTTGCACCTTATTTTGTGTTGTGGCGGGTTTGGGTTGTGTTTGTCTCAGTGTCCAAAGTGTCAAGTGTCCAAACAACAATGATGTGCTAGAATCCTAAAAAACAAAGAAATAGAAATTATTATTTTAAAGTATAAAAATAGATTAATTAATTTATTACCAATATTGTTGGAGTTAACGAGTCAAATGTCAATCAATAAAACAAAACTTAAAGTCCCTAGAGGTCCCCCTCTCTAATTAAATTTTTTACTTCAATCATGAATTGCGAATTAGCGTTCTTTTACCGATAAATCCTTGTTCAGGAAGGTAGTAATTCTTGAAAGAAGCTAGATGCTGATTAACTTTTCAAGTTTGAAGAAATTTAATAGTAGAACATTTAGTAGAAGTTGTTATATACCTGTATATGGAATTTTGGAAAACGTTTAATACAGAAAATACAGCCAAAATACATCTAGGTAGGTGCAGTTTCAAGTTAGTTTTTTTCTTGCTTTATAATGACTAAATTTTTGCTTAAATAGCTTAATTTTCAGAAAACTGAGTAAGTGATATTTTAATTTTGTTCCTCTGATACTTTAAAAATGTATTTATAACCATTAAGGAAACACATGGCTTCATGTGTAGTTTTTTTATACCTACAAAAAAAAGTTTTGAAAGGAGAAATGACAATTGACCTTGGAAACGTTGTTTACTAAGTAATTAAATAGGATTCTAGCTATGATTGTTTCTTTTAGGCTGTTTGGTAAGGGTGTTTAGTAAGGGTGTTACTTGCACTTACTGGTGGATCTAGATCTAGTGTCCACGAAGATTATTGCCTGGATTGCATCCTGTGTTTGGTATCTTGGGATCATTTGTTTGGAATGCTGCATGTTAATCCTGCCAGGAGTTACCGATAAAGTTGCTGAAACTGCTTCAAGCCGCACGATCCTGTATGCCGGCGCACAGACAGTTCTAAAGGTAGTAAATTGAACTTATTAGATATTGTAAAGATCTAGACGTACTTGTTTTGCTGAAATATATTAGTAGATTGTTAAGAATAGGTGATTAGTATATAATTACTTACCTGTATTGTAGTTTAAGTAGTTTTTAAAAAGTATTTCACTGACAGGTCGACGTGTTTACTAGTTTTAGGTAGGTTAGGTTAATAGTTTTAAGATTGGTAGTTCTAGTGACGCGGTGTAGCCACGTTTACTCAGCGTAGGCAGATACGGAGTTTGCGGCGTTGCCGTACGTAAATATTTGTTTTAAAATCATATGTTCATAAAATCATAAGTTATTCAATAACCTTCGAATATTTTTATTAATTTATAATATAAAAATCAATAACCGTCGAATATTTTTATTAATAAATATTTTTGTTGTATTAAAATTGTATTGTTGGTATTCCTCACTCACCTTAGACCACCTGTCGATTTGGTCTCGACTGGCGCCCAATTTAAAGTAGTAAAGATAAAAATAAAGATTTAACGAACCCACACCCAGCCCCGAATTTAGCAGCAGCCGTAAGTAACCTCAGAACGTAAGTAAGTAAAGTAAAAAATCACGAAAAGTTAAGGTTACACAAGTGGCGCCCAACGTGGGCGCGTGGGAAGTTTCGGCCATATGTTGAAGGGGTAAAATTCAAGGTGATTACTGATCACTATAGTTTACTATGGCTACACAATTTAAAGAGTCCGACAGGACGTTTGGCAAGATGGGCTGTGAAGTTATCGCAGCATGATTTTGAAATAGAGCATCGAAAGGGAGCCTTGAATGTGCTTCCTGATGCACTGTCCAGAGCGCCAGTCGAAGTGGCGTGGTTGGAATTAAAAGCAGAAGACTGTAAGAAGGACACCTGGTATGAAAAAATGTGTAAGAATGTGCGAGATGAACCTCAACAATATCCGGAATGGATGATCGATGAGAGAGGTCTTCTGTACAAGCACTTTATTTCAGAGATGGTGGTCGATAACAATCTTCCACAGTGGAAATGGGTAGTTCCGAGGCATCAGAGGGGTAGGATTCTAAAGGAGTGCCACGATGCCCCTACTTCAGCACATTTAGGGGTGTTCAAAACACTCATGAGAGTAAAAGAAAGCTACTACTGGCCAAAGATGAAAACATATGTCAAGAGGTACATTAAGTCGTGCGAAACGTGTTCGGCCCAGAAGTCCCGAAACGACGGAAGACCAGGTTTTATGGGAAAACCAAAAAGAGTATGTTATCCATGGCAGATGATTTCCGTGGATATACTCGGCCCTTTACCCCGATCAAGTAGTGGATATGCTTACATACTAGTTGTATCAGATTATTTTACAAAATATGTTTTGCTGCATCCGATGAGGCAAGCTATAGCGACGACAATCGTAAAGTTTTTAGAAGACGAAGTATTTTTGGTATATGGTGCGCCGCAAGTGATAACAGCCGATAACGGGGCGCAATTCACAGGTAAACTTTTTAAGGAGTTGGCAGAACGATATAATGCGAAGGTATGGTTTAATGCTCGCTATCATCCACAAGTTAACCAGGTAGAAAGAGTTAACAGAGTAATAGGAGCAGCAATTAGATCCTATATAAAAGACCACCAACACAAAAAATGGCCGCAAGAATTGGCAAAAATCGGATTTGCCTTAAGGACAGCGGTACACGAATCGACGGGGTTCAGCCCTGCTTATTTAAATTTCGGTAGGTTAGTACCGACAAGTGGGAATTTTTATGGAGAGGTGGGCAAGGCCAAAGATTTTAATTTTAACCCATTTGACAGAGAAAAATATGCTAAGGCAATGGGAGATTTACCCCATGTATATGTAGAGGTACAAAGAAAGTTAAAGGAGGCATATCAGAGAAACCAACACGGATATAACCTAAGGAAGAGGCCAGGAGAAAATTACCAGGTTGGAGACAAGGTTTGGAAAAGAAACTATGTGTTGAGTAACGCAGTTGACAAGTTTTCGGCCAAGTTGGCACCTAGGTATATTCTTTGCAAAATAGTCAGGAGACTGTCACCACTAGTGTTCCAGTTAGAAGACGCAAAAGGAGTGGATCAGGGTTCATTCCACCAAAAGGACCTTAAACCCTGGAAAGAAGAGATGGAATGAGTGATTTTGAAAGTTAGATGGTTGATCTCGTGAAAGTAGAATGAAAGCGGAACTAAGAATGAGTGAGGTAAAGAAAACAGTTGACTAGGGTGATAACATTAAACTGTCAGTCTTCAGGTAAAGGCAATTATTTTTTTTGGCCAGAAATTAAGTTCCTAATATTATAGTGCGCCTAACATATTATTTGTTTATCTTCAGATGTTTGTGGTGTCTAGTTTATGGGGGTTAAAAAAAAAAAAAGAAAAAAATAAAATAAAATATAGTAGAATAGAATATATAAAATTAAATTAAAGGTGTTAGGTTGACAATAGTTTTTTTATTTTATTTTTTTATCCAAGAAAGGGTGGTGTGTAACGGTTCTAAACTCTAAACTCTAAATTATTTTTTATTAAAACTACATACCTTAGTTATTAGAATGTTTATTTGTTTTTATAATTATATAAAAGGGGTAAATGTACGTTTGCACCTTATTGTGTGTTGTGGCGGGTTTGGGTTGTGTTTGTCTCAGTGTCCAAAGTGTCAAGTGTCCAAACAACAATGATGTGCTAGAATCCTAGAAAATAAAGAAATAGAAATTATTATTTTAAAGTATAAAAATAGATTAATTAATTTATTACCAATATTGTTGGAGTTAACGAGTCAAATGTCAATCAATAAAACAAAACTTAAAGTCCCTAGAGGTCCCCCTCTCTAATTAAATTTTTTACTTCAATCATGAATTGCGAATTAGCGTTCTTTTACCGATAAATCCTTGTTCAGGAAGGTAGTAATTCTTGAAAGAAGCTAGATGCTGATTAACTTTTCAAGTTTGAAGAAATTTAATAGTAGAACATTTAGTAGAAGTTGTTATATACCTGTATATGGAATTTTGGAAAACGTTTAATACAGAAAATACAGCCAAAATACATCTAGGTAGGTGCAGTTTCAAGTTAGTTTTTTTCTTGCTTTATAATGACTAAATTTTTGCTTAAATAGCTTAATTTTCAGAAAACTGAGTAAGTGATATTTTAATTTTGTTCCTCTGATACTTTAAAAATGTATTTATAACCATTAAGGAAACACATGGCTTCATGTGTAGTTTTTTTATACCTACAAAAAAAAGTTTTGAAAGGAGAAATGACAATTGACCTTGGAAACGTTGTTTACTAAGTAATTAAATAGGATTCTAGCTATGATTGTTTCTTTTAGGCTGTTTGGTAAGGGTGTTTAGTAAGGGTGTTACTTGCACTTACTGGTGGATCTAGATCTAGTGTCCACGAAGATTATTGCCTGGATTGCATCCTGTGTTTGGTATCTTGGGATCATTTGTTTGGAATGCTGCATGTTAATCCTGCCAGGAGTTACCGATAAAGTTGCTGAAACTGCTTCAAGCCGCACGATCCTGTATGCCGGCGCACAGACAGTTCTAAAGGTAGTAAATTGAACTTATTAGATATTGTAAAGATCTAGACGTACTTGTTTTGCTGAAATATATTAGTAGATTGTTAAGAATAGGTGATTAGTATATAATTACTTACCTGTATTGTAGTTTAAGTAGTTTTTAAAAAGTATTTCACTGACAGGTCGACGTGTTTACTAGTTTTAGGTAGGTTAGGTTAATAGTTTTAAGATTGGTAGTTCTAGTGACGCGGTGTAGCCACGTTTACTCAGCGTAGGCAGATACGGAGTTTGCGGCGTTGCCGTACGTAAATATTTGTTTTAAAATCATATGTTCATAAAATCATAAGTTATTCAATAACCTTCGAATATTTTTATTAATTTATAATATGAAAATCAATAACCGTCGAATATTTTTATTAATAAATATTTTTGTTGTATTAAAATTGTATTGTTGGTATTCCTCACTCACCTTAGACCACCTGTCGATTTGGTCTCGACTGGCGCCCAATTTAAAGTAGTAAAGATAAAAATAAAGATTTAACGAACCCACACCCAGCCCCGAATTTAGCAGCAGCCGTAAGTAACCTCAGAACGTAAGTAAGTAAAGTAAAAAATCACGAAAAGTTAAGGCTACGCGGAACTCCCGGCTTTGGCGTTTTTTGAACACTGGGGGCAGTTTGGTCTAATTACTCCCGGCTTCCCGCATCCATGGCACACCAACTCTTTAGGATACCTCGATTGGCAATCTCTTTTCATATGTCCAACTCCATTGCATTTAAAACACCTAAACTCCTCCACTGCTCCTCTGTTGACTTGCACGTCTCTTGATAAAAACGCGAGGTCCGGCTCTAAAGTGGAGATATTTCTTTTCGGAGGTGGTTGATATTTCTTTTGAACCATGTTTGCATAGCGTAGGCAGATACGGAGTTTGCGGCGTTGCCGTACGTAAATATTTGTTTTAAAATCATATGTTCATAAAATCATAAGTTATTCAATAACCTTCGAATATTTTTATTAATTTATAATATAAAAATCAATAACCGTCGAATATTTTTATTAATAAATATTTTTGTTGTATTAAAATTGTATTGTTGGTATTCCTCACTCACCTTAGACCACCTGTCGATTTGGTCTCGACTGGCGCCCAATTTAAAGTAGTAAAGATTAAAATAAAGATTTAACGAACCCACACCCAGCCCCGAATTTAGCAGCAGCCGTAAGTAACCTCAGAACGTAAGTAAGTAAAGTAAAAAATCACGAAAAGTTAAGGTTACACACTTGTGTAACCTATGATTTTATGAACATATGATTTTAAAACAAATATTTACGTACGGCAACGCCGCAAACTCCGTATCTGCCTACGCTGAGTAAACGTGGCTACACCGCGTCACTAGAACTACCAATCTTAAAACTATTAACCTAACCTACCTAAAACTAGTAAACACGTCGACCTGTCAGTGAAATACTTTTTAAAAACTACTTAAACTACAATACAGGTAAGTAATTATATACTAATCACCTATTCTTAACAATCTACTAATATATTTCAGCAAAACAAGTACGTCTAGATCTTTACAATATCTAATAAGTTCAATTTACTACCTTTAGAACTGTCTGTGCGCCGGCATACAGGATCGTGCGGCTTGAAGCAGTTTCAGCAACTTTATCGGTAACTCCTGGCAGGATTAACATGCAGCATTCCAAACAAATGATCCCAAGATACCAAACACAGGATGCAATCCAGGCAATAATCTTCGTGGACACTAGATCTAGATCCACCGGTAAGTGCAAGTAACACTTTTACTAAACACCCTTACCAAACAGCCTATATGTATTTTGGCTGTATTTTCTGTATTAAACGTTTTCCAAAATTCCATATATAGGTATATAACAACTTCTACTAAATGTTCTACTATTAACTTTCTTCAAACTTGAAAACTTAATCAGCATTTAGCTTCTTTCAAGAATTACTACCTTCCTGAACAAGGATTTATCGATAAAAAGCTGAAACTGCATTATTATTTTTCATTATTTAGTTAACCGATAAAAGATCCCTTTTAAATGATTCGCACGATACTCTGCCTTGGGGGCATTATAGTATTATTTGACTTTATTGTATTTGTTACCTCACAATTTTTAATTTTTTTATTATCCTGTGCGTTACTTTACATTTTTGTTTATCTACTGCAACCTATAAATAATATTAGTTTATGTTGCGTACCTGCTATAAATTCCTATATTTATCATCACACACAACGCACTAAAATTCTAGAAAAAAGACTAAAAGCTCCATTTGAAGAACTAAATGATCTTATGATTTGAGCGAAATATTAAAATTTATTTAAAGTGAAATACTTTAAAACAGGATCTCAAGGTCCACCAGCTGGACCCCCAAGGCTATCGTGTTTTAAAATAAATATGATTGGGGCATCGAAACAAACATTGTGTATACGACATGAACCATTAAAACTGGACTGGATTCCATTTAAACAATCTTTACCAGTTGTTCAAGATATTGCAACTTTAATACAACAAATGATCCAGGATATACGTGAACGTGAAAATATTGAAAATAGTGATGACGACTGGAAAACTGGACTGGATTCCATTTAAACAATCTTTACCAGTTGTTTAAGATATTGCAACTTTAATACAATAAATGATCCAGGATATACGTGAACGTAAAAATATTGAAAATAGTGATGACGACTACTACATACGCATTGAAGTTAAAGACAAATTGGTTTATGCAGGATTAATGGATTATAATTAATGAAATAAAGTGAAAGTTCATACAGTTTATTTGAAAGCATATTAGATGATATACTATGAGAAAATAAAACACTTTTAAATCCTAAATTGTTTTTTATTTGGTCTTTTATTAATTATACATTATAATGTTATACTAGGTCATTTTTGTTGATCCAACTCTTCTCGTTTTCTCCAAATCATTTCACGTATACTTTTGTTCCTTTTCGCCTTAAAATTTTTTCAATCAAATGAATATCGGGAAACTTTGCCTTTTGCAATTCGAATTCATAAAAACCTCCCAGAATAGGTTTTCCATACTGATCCTCCAAGATGTAAGTTGTAGGATTTGTTAATTTAACCTTTTTACAGTAAAAATTTCATTTGACCAATTTGGCGTGTATCCTTTAGAAAATGCCTCGCGATATTTGCTTATCCGAACATTGTCTTTTAATTTAAATTTATTATTTGGACTGAACATTTTTAAATTGCTAAAGGTTGATTTTAACAAACTTTTTTCATTCTTTGCATTTACATCAATCGGTATGGTAAAGTTTCTTCCTAAGAAGGCATCCTAAAGAAAATCCAATTTTCAATGAAAAGCCCTAAATCTTCTATTATCCAGAATTTTGAAAATATAAAACATTTAAAATAGATAGCATAGGAAAATTAACATGAGGAATGGATGATGGCAATGTTTTTTCCTAAGAAGGCATTCTAAAAAAATCCTATTTTTAATGAAAAGCCCTAAATCTTCTAATATCCAGAATTTTAAAAATATAAAACATTTAAAATATATAGCATAGGAAAATTAACATAAGGAATGGATGATGGCAATGTTTCTTCCTAAGAAGGCATCCTAAAGAAAATCCAATTTTCAATGAAAAGCCCTAAATCTTCTAATATCGAGAATTTTGAAAATATAAAACTTTTAAAATAGATGGCATAGGAAAATTAACATGAGTAATAGATGATGGCAATGTTTCTTCCTAAAATAGGGTCCTAAAGAATATCTTATTTTTAATGAAAATCCCTAAATGTTCTAAAATTTTAAAAATATAAAACCTTTAAAATAGATAGCATAAAAAAATTAACATAAGGAATGGATGATGGCAATGTTTCTTCCTAAGAAGGCATCTTAAAGAAAATCCAATTTTCAATGAAAAGCCCTAAATCTTCTAATATCGAGAATTTTGAAAATATAAAACATTTAAAATAGATAGCATAGGAAAATTAACATGAGTAATAGATAATGGCAATGTTTCTTCCTAAGATAGCGTCCTAAAGAATATCTTATTTTTAATGAAAATCCCTAAATCTTCTAATATTCATAATTTGGCAATGTTTCTTCCTAAGAAAGCATCCTAAAGAAAATCCAATTTTCAATGAAAAGCCCTAAATCTTCTAATATCCAGAATTTTGAAAATATAAAATCTTTAAAATAGAAAGCATAGGAAAATTAACATGAGGAATGGATGATTTCAATGTTTTTTTCTAGGAAGGCATCCTAAAGAATTTCTAATTTTTAATAAAAAGCCCTAAATCTTCTAATATCCACAATTTTGAAAAAATAAAACATTTAAAATAGATAGCATAGGGAAATTAACATGAAGAATGGATGATGGCAATGTTTCTGTTTTATTATACAATTTATAATAATTTATGTTTTATTAAAATTGATTAAGTCAGAATCTGACAACATACAACAATCCTAAACTATACAACAATATGAAACAAGGTGGTTTACTAAATATCTTCCCCTTTTAAAACAAAGTTAAAACAGCTTAAGGTTAGAAGTTGTTACCAACAACCTTCTTTATAAATCTTCTATAAATTTCTGCGTAAAATTTGATTAGTATCACATATTTGTATTAAATACGATCTAGGTGTTTCACATTTTTTAATTACAATTGCTGGGTGCCAAGTCTTTTTAAAAATATGTTGCACCAAAACCTTTTCCCCTTTTTCAAAATAAATTTCTTTGATTGTATTTTTTTTATAAAATAGTCCTTGCTTGTTTTGATTGGTTTTCATTTTATTGTTAATACAATCTGGTACCACTTTGGGCTTTAATTACAAAAAGGAATAGGAAGTTTACATCTTAAGATCCTGCTTTGCAATAGTTGTGCTGGAGAATATTCTAAATTAGCAACAGAAGAATTTCTATAATTTAATAAATATAAATTTAAGTCAGTTCTAGACTCATGGGCTTTTTTAAGCATATTTTTAGCAATATCAACCGCTTTTTCAGCTAGACCATTTGATTGATGATAATATGGACTACATGTACTAATGCTTAAATTCCATTCCTTAGAAAAAACTATGAATTCATGACTTTTGAAAGGAACATTATCAGAAATTAATAATGAAGGTATACCAAATTTGCCAAATAAATATTTCAACTTTTCAATAATACAAAAACTACTTTTATTTTTAATTGGAATAATTTCAAGCCATCTACTAAAGTAGTCCATTATAATTAAATAATTTTTTCCAGCATATTCCGCTAAATCTACACCAATTTTTAAAAATGGATGTTAAGGTATTTCATGAGAAATTAAAGGCTCTTTTCGCTTAGATCTTTGGTACTTACAGCATAATGAACAAGTAGCAACTAAATTTTTTATATCTGCAAGAATTGCAGGCCAGTAAAATAAATTTTTTACAATTCCCGATATTTTTGACACACCGTTATTTCTTGTCTAAGTTTAAAGTAATGAACTAATTCACCTGAAAAATTTATATTTTTTGGCCACCCAGACATACAAAACTTCACAACTTCACCTAATATTTTATCTTTTAGAGTTTCCTGTCGGAATTTTTTCATTTTATCTTCAGAAATTTGTTTTTTTAGAAACACAATGAACAACATCCTTCATTAGTATATCTTCAGATTCCTTAGTGTAGATGTTACATCGCGACAAAAAATCAGCTATGTACATATATTTACCTGGAAGATATTTTAAATCAAAATAATATACTAGCAACTTTATTCTTAAACGTCGTATTCGATTATTTTGAATTTTTCCAATTTCTTTAGATATAATTGATACCAAAGGTTTATGATCTGTATGTACTGTAACATATTGATGTCCATAAATATAATTGTGAAACTTTTGACATGCAAAAGTAATAGCTAAAAGTTATTTTTC